AGGAGGTCAGGTTGTATTCTCACTCTGTCAGTGGGTTGTTTTTTTGTTAGTTTTCTTTTTTTGTACTACTGCATTTTTATTTTAATTTCCTTAGTAAAGATCTGTTATTCCTATTCCCATATCTTTGCCTGAGAGCACCTTGATTTCAAGATTATAATATTTTGAAGGGGGGGGTTGGGAGGGTGGTGGCTTACATTTTTATTTATTTCAGTGGAGGTTTCTGCCTTCCTTAGCAGACATCTGTCTTTTTCAAAGCAAGACAGCATGGAATTTATTGCACCCAGGCAGGCAGTTGCACCTCCACAGATTCCCACAGCATCCAAAGCCCTTCCTGCCTCTACAAACTACCACTAGGAGCACAAAGGGGACTGGGACACAAGCATCCCACTTTCCCTGCCTCTCTCCTGCATTCCCAATGACACATGCCATACTCCAAAAAGTTTTCTTGGTGCTATACACCACAGAAAGAAATGCAATCCCTGTCTGGGAAACTTAATGTCTAATAGCAGATGCTTCTGCCTTCCAATGCATCTCAGGATATATTCTAGGGCCCACCTCCACAGAATGTTTTGGGTTGGAAGGGACCTTGAAGATCATCTTGTTCCAATGTTATTGCCATAGGCAGGGACACCTTCTACCAGACCAGGTTGCTCAAAGCCCCATCCCTATTCTCTGCTAGAGCATTCCTGCCATCCATTTGCTGTAAACCTGGCACATCCCTTTGCTACATTCACCAGGGGTTTGCAACCTGCTGGTACACACAGGCATGGGGCTGATCATTTACCTCAGTTACTTAGAAAGCTGTCACAGACCTGGAAATGCACAACTGTGACTGATTCTCAGGCAAATATTTACTTTGGCAGGTTCAAGGCAGAAGACCTCACTGTGCTCACCCTCTTTTGCTGTAAGTAATTTGCATTCATCCTAATCATTGACAAACATTACAAATTGCATACCTGGAGCTGTTACAAGCTCTAAGTGGTTAAACCCTGTACTTTCCTCTTCCTTTTTAAAATAAACTACATCATACCTACAAATAAATACAGTACAGTAGAATCACAGAATTGTTCAGTTTGGGAGGGACCTTAAAGTTGTAGCTCTAAGTCCCCTGCCCATGGACAGGGTCACCTTCCACTAGGCCAGGTGGCTCAGTGCAATCTTTAACATAAGGCTCACAGCAAGAATGAAAGACAGCATTTTAATTTTAAAAAAACTGAATAAATAAAAAATTAAACCCCAGTTGAGTCTTAATATATGCCTACAACAGCAGAACAATTAGTGGCTCATCTAACATTTGCACTGGATTTAGTGGGAGCTGAGGCAGTTGTCACTGAGATTAATCCACACTTGCTCTGTAGCTTTGGGAACAATGATTGAGCAGGCCTTGGTTCAGGACATCTTTCCAACAGAGCCATTTACAGGTGGCAACCAGATAAAAAAATATGTTCCAAATTTTTCTTTTAATTGCTTATTTCAGCTCAAAGGAGTCCAGAATCCCCATTAACAGGTGATGCAGAGGTCTCTGTCAGCACAGACAGTAACAATCCATTTGCCTCACCCTCACCTGCCTCTATTCTACATAATACCTTTGCACAGAAATTGTAAAAACTGGGCATCTATTCATCCTGTCAAAGTGCACCCTCAAGAGGAAGACTGATGAAGGGAAGCTTTAAGAGCCTTGTGATAACAGTGCACATATTATCACAATAACATGTTATTATATAACACATTAGCAATATTGAGCTGTTTAATTTCCAGTACCATCCTGGAATACACTAAACCAGCCAGGGTATGTGGTTTGCCCTCCAGTACTACATCCTCACTAGCAGCACAAATAACTTCAGCAGTTCTCCAAGGATAACCTGGAGAACAGAGAAACTCTTCCAAGATGGTAAAAGATAGTCTTCCTCCCTCACATCCCAGCTGCAATTTGTTGGAGTCTGAAACACAGAGTGTGTGCCCTTGTTTCTGATGCCTAGCTCTGACATCCAGAAGAACACTGAATTTCATACAACGTGAAATTTATGGGCATGTTTTTGTAGTGTTAAATGAAAACAACTGTTAAAGTTAGATAGAAAAGCCAAAAGTGTAAGTGTGTAGATTAGAGAGTTTTCTTAAGTCACTGGGTGAATAAGTTAGTTTAGAGTTTAAGCTAGTTTAGAAAGAAGACGACAAGATGGAGGATTTAGACTGTTGTTTCTTTTCCTTCTTCTTTCTTCTTCATGTTCTTCTTCTAGAGGTTTTTGGGTAATAGTAGGTGATTGGTTAGAAAATGCCGCAATGCAGCACACAGGTCATTGGGTCATTAAGAAAAATAATATATGTGTCTATTGTTAATTTGCTAAGAATAAGTATAAATATAAAAGAACTGCATAGTTCAGAGCCATTTTGTGCCTACAAGGATAAAGTGAGCCTTAAGAGCAAGATGAATTAAACTTGTGCAGAAAGTCTGGAGAGACTTGCCTAGTTTTGTGATAACATCCTAATAAACACAAGAAACAAGATCCTAACGAGCTTTGGAGTTTTTGTCCTGACCCAGAGAACTGAGATAAGCGGCCCTCCCTGTGAGGGAGTATCCTCAAGGAGCTCAGCTCAGAGAAGCTGAGAAATCCAGGAGTGAAGAGAGGTGCAGAAGCAGCACAGAAGAAAGAGAAAGAAAAGAAACAGAATTAAAAAGTTATAGCAATAAAAAAAAAAACATCAGAATTGAACCAGCACCACTTCTCTTAGCTGAGCTATATCATGCTTTATGGGGTGCTTAGGTTTTTGCAAAGAGAGGAACTATGTCTTTCTGTCCTATGCAGCAGAGAGCAAAATGTTCAAAAATAGGCACTTGTCTGGCTCAAATCACAAAAAAACTCAACATATATCAAAACAACTATAATGAAAATTACCAAAAATTCCAGTTAAAAAAATTGCAGAGACACAGAAGTGTATGAGAAGTCCCAAAGGGTGTAGACATCTGCATGTTTAAAAAGATCACGCTGTATTGATGGTAACTGCATGATAATTTACAAATTATATTGCTTCTAGCTGAATTTGATCACACCACCAAGACTCCTAACCTATCTCCCTAGAATTTCCTGAAGTAATAGATGTCCTGGTCCAGAATCCCTTCACTCCTACACTTAGTTTCACATTTAAAATCTGTCTGTCATACAGCAATTTTTCAAAAGTAAAAAAAATGTGTAGGTTGCCTTTTGGTTTTAATGTCTGCCTCTCATGATTTTATAAAAAGCACACATCCTTGGTAGTTAAACCCCAGATCATCCAGCTTGGGTTCATGTGTGTCCCAGGCCGGGGAATCTTTAGCCAGCTGATCTCCACTGACACAAATCACTTAGAAGCATAGAAGCCTTCAGGTTTGAAAAGACCTCTAAGACCGTACAGTCCAACCATTAAACCAGCACTGTAAAGTCCACCACTAAACCAGGTCCCCAAGTACATCTATGTTGCTAAAAGACACTAAATGATTCACATGAACATCCCTCAGTGTTAGAGCAGGAAAAAGCCACTTTATTCTCTGACTCCATTGTTTATAGATTCTTGACAATGACCAGGGATTGGACATTCAAGTTACCACCTTCCCAAGCACACTGGTCATGTGAAATGTCCATCAAAAGAAGTTTCTTAGAAGGAATGTGATAAACAAGGTATGTTTATAGAACTTTCGTGGGAAAGTAACTAAAACTATGAAAACATTATCAGAAGGTTTTAATTTTTCAGGGTGACCCATCTACACATTTTAAATACATCCAGAGTCATGTTTTACTAAACCACAACTCCTAAAATGTTGTTTTATCAGAACCAAAGATTACCAGTGAAAAAGCCATTTGTACATAGGTATCTGCCATAATGATTACTCAGAAATATTAATGCACTATTTTCTACCTGCATCTGTCTGGTCTCAGATTCCAGTCACACAATTCTCACTCTACATATCCTGATCACATCAAAGAAACTGATAACACACAACCCATCTCCAAGTCACTGAAACAATGGAAATCTGCCAGTCCTTTCTACCACCCTCATGTTTTATTATCCATTTCCTTATAATGATTTTCAGACCTCTGAAACAGCACCAGGTTTGGTTCAAACTTTGAAGAAACTAACAAAAACTTTCTGTATCAATGACTCTGAATCAATGGCTTGGGGTTTTCTTTGCCCATATGTCTCACATTCATATTATCTCAGTGTACAGTGCTGGGGGTCCTTTTAAAATAATAAATAACTTGGTACCCAGCCAGCTATATTATTTTTAAAACCCAAGTAAATTATATTTAGCCATTAATTTCTTTATGAAGTAAATAGTTTCTTTTCCTGAAAAAAAACAAATTGATCTGAAAAGGCTTATTTTCTCTAACTTTTAGAAAACGTTAGTAACTTTTTATTACTGGCCCCACATACCAAAATATATCTACCAAAATAGATGGAACAAATCAAACTCTCCCTAACAAGGTAACTTTTCTTTCTATTTTACAGGCAAGTGATGTGAGAGCATCTCTGGTTGGAAACAGGCTTGGACCCATATCCCATGTTCGGTTTAATTAGATTGGATGCTATGTGATGTGTATTCAAGATCCTGCATTTCTGAGACAACTAAAATAAGTAGAACTAAGTATTTGATTAATATTTAAACACAGCAAAACTGACAAGAATTGCAACAGGTAAGTTTCTTGGGCAAGATTTCCCTGACAGGATATCAGTAACTTCCACTGAAAGGAGCCACTGATAGTTACTTGTATGCTGAGGGGGAGAACCGGAGCCCTAGAGATCGACTTAATTTTCTTTTTCTGTGCACATAAAAGCAGAATATATAATAAGGTCACAAAAGACCAAAAATAGCAAATCTTCAAGCATTTGCAATTCAAATAGATACCAGATCTGCTGGAAGGCAAGCAGCTTGACCAGCATACAGAACTTCTGAAGATGACTACTTTTATAACATTTTAAATTCCACTACCATTTTTCAAAAGTCAAGCAAAACATTAAGTACATACTTTTCAGGGTTTTCCACTTCTTCGGTAACAAAATTGAGGTAAAACCTAGAAAATAGTTATAAAATGTATTATAAGATTTATTCTTATATTCTTATAATTTTATTCTGTATTTCTTTCACTAAGAATCAAGAAGATGCTTTTATTTAATCACTGCTGTTAATTACAGTAGGCTTTGCAGGCCCATGTTTGGATTAAGGAGAGAGTGATATTTAACCTTCCCTGATCTCCACACTCAGGAAGGAATTTCTCAGAAAACACAACAAAGCAGGAAAAGAAAGAGACAATAACTATGTCAAGTCAGTGTGTAATTACTTTTTTCCCCTGACATACTATGGAGGTAATGGTTTACTCTAATTATATACATACACACACACATGCACCCTTCAAATTTTATATTCCATTTTTGTTTGCTGCCTTTTATGGTTTCAGATTATATTGGCAAGAAGTCTTGTAAGAGTACTCAGCAAGAGCTTCTTAACAATACAAATAACTGAAGCCTTAGAAAAACCCTTCCTAAACCAAGAACTTGTATAGAATCTCAAACACAGGCTGCTAGCCCTGCACACTCTTGGACAACGTCCAGTACAGGTTGCACTCTGATCATATTCCAGTAGCATTCAAGAGATAGCTCTGTATGGGAATTCATAGGAACTGCTCACCAGGCACAGCCCTGCATACAAAGCAACCATAAGCCTCAAGGTCACTGAACCCTCTGTCCTACATTTATTAGCACTAGGTCTGTGCCTGACTGGATCACAATTGTTCCTGGCTTGGAGACAGGCCTAGAGTCAGATCTTGTCTAATTAAACAGAGCAGTCAATACATTGCCTATGCTGGTCTTCTGCTCTTGTGCAGAAAGACAAATGGCACCTGAGCCAGCAGTGCTGCACTGAATAAACAACAGGAAACTGATCTGACAGAAAGTCTGGGAGCTTTGCCCCATCTCAAGTCTTGGAGCAGAACTGGGTTAGCAGAACAACTTAATGCTGGCTGATGGCTTTTTAAAAATAGTGATTTTGTGACTGAACGTGAAATTCTTTGTCACCTTATCCAAAAACATCAGTACTTGTCTTTAAACTTCCTAGTGCATAGAGCACAGAAGACCGATATATGGAGGAAACATCTTTACAGTGAGAGTGGTGGAGCACTGAAACTGGTTGCTCAAGGAAGCGGTGGATGCTGCATCCCTGGAAGTGTTCAAAGCCAGGCTGCATGGGGCTTTTAGCAACCTGGTCTAGTAGGAAGTATCCCTACCCTTGGCAAGGGGAAGAAACAAAATGATCTTTAAGGTCCCTTTCAACACAAACTGTTTATGATAGCCCAGCATCAGTCCTTTCATTGATGCAAAGACATGTTTCCTTGCATTCTTTTCTCCACTTGTCCTTTTCCAGACAGCATTTTATATACCTAATAGTCTACACTTGTTCTTCGTAGGATGAACCCACACACAGAAGAGATACTGCTTTTCTTTTCTTCTTCAAAGTTGTATCATTAAAAGTCAGCAGTTAAAAGCTAACAGTCTTTTTTGAGCTATGCATAAAATTCTACCTGCATCATCAACGCTTGCTACACTCCTTCACATCCAGCTGATTGTATTGATTTGGCCCCATGAAACTGATAGTGAAAGGATATTGACACTTCACTTAATGGTCTGCTCCTCCATGTTCTGAGGTGAGGAATTTAGGTGATGACAAAGAAAAATAGACATCTGGGAAGAACCACTAGCCAAAATAGGTCTTTTTCCCTGCTAACTTCTTTTATAAGTGGCAAATAAGGACCTTGAAATAAAAGTCAGAAGGTGTAAAGAGAAAAGAAAAAGATTTTTTTTATTGTAACCATTATGTGAAAAATGGTAAAGATATATGGGAAAAATAACAGTATTTTGATGAAGCATTTTGCAGACAAGAAATTCTGAATAATATTAAAGAGCTTTTAAAATTGCTTTCATAGAAAAACTTAGGTTAATACTTAAAAAGTGAGAAACCATTACATGTATGGATATGAGAGACAAAAGCAGTTATAGAAGAGAGGGGGAAGTAGAGATGGCCCACATAATCAATTCCATTTCTCTGAGGCTTCAAAATGCCAGGCTCTTTTCATATAGATCTATTGCAAATAAAGGCTTTGGACTCTCTTGGGTTTCTTCCCCCACTACCATTTAATATATAAAGTTCTGTTCATACTTCAGTGTGCAGATTTATAATGCTCCTGCAACCAGGGAATTACAGATGGGCAGAGAACTCCAGTGCTCAGCCCATTGTCCCTCCAAATTGAATAAATAAACCCCTTATCTTGCAGCTCTCATTTTTTGTGCAAGGTAAAGAACCTGGCTGCCTATGAGCATATGGGAAGCAAAGGGAAGACCTGCAGACAAAGCTATCTCAAAATAAGCCCACTCTGTGCACTGTAGTCTGTCTTCTTCCTCCAACGCTGCTGCTGCAAAAGCCCTTTGGCACTACAATGTGGAGCCCTCATGAGCATGAATAAATTGTACAGGCAGATTCAAGAAGTGGCAGCACCTTACAAAGCAGTTGCTGTGTACTTTGGAGGGGAAAGAGAGAAAGAACTTGAAAGTTCTAAGCAGAATACCTGAAGGTAGATTCCCATACTTCTGCTCACAGTCAATCACACTTGACTTTTGTGGAAGCCAGTTGCACTTCTTTTAAGTTTCAAATCTCTCAGAGCAAGAAGTGTAAAAATCTAGAGATTTTTATTCTGTTTTGTGGTCTACACCAATCTCACTGATTCTTACTTGTCAAATACTTCTTTTACAAAGCAAGGTTAAGGGCCACACAACTTTGTAACAGAATAATAGATTTGTTTTTTATGTAATTACTGACTAAAAAAAATTAAAGCTTTATTTTATTATTTTTTATTATTTTATTAAAGTGTTTAATGAAAAATGAAGAATATTCCTTTATTGTGGTTTGATTATTTTGGTTGTCAGTGCATGTTTATATAATTGTACACTGAAAAGAAAAATCTTTCCTTTGCAGAGCTGCTTGCACAATGACCACTGAGCATATGGAACAGTAGTGAGAACTACCCTAGTTGTATGATGCAGCTTGGCAGAAGATGTAGAATGTGATACAGCTTCATAAAATAAATGTCTTTGTTAGAGCATATTAGTGTTTGTTTTCAGGATAAATATATATATAAATTTTATCCACTTACCAGCCTGAATAGGCATACATTCCTGAATAGAAAGCAAGTGGTAATCCCATAATACTGGCATCATTCCCTGCAAAGGCATTTTTAAAGTGCTGTGTTTCTCCTGTAAAATCAACAAAAAAAATGTTGAAAAATAAGCTTTTTGGTCATAACTACTTTTTTAAAAAAAATAAATATAACACATCCTGGAACACTTAATCAGCCAACAGTTCACTGACATCAAGTTCTGCCCTTGACCTTAAATTCTGACCCAATCCTTGCAGCCATAATCTGCCAACAAAAAGGCTTTGTGGCATCTGTATTCATGCAGTAGGAGAATTTGACCTATTAGTTTGTTTCAAAGAATTCTGAGCTTGATGACACTAACTGCTCTGTCATTTCCAGCAGTGACTTACATCAGCTTACATGAAAGAGCAGAATGAGCTCAGTAGTTTTTGATGTGGAAAATTTCACTTGTTCAACATTTTAATCAGAAGGAACTTTGCTGGCATTTCATTCAGAAGCAACATTTATAAGCTAAATAAACCCAAAATCTTAAAACATTTCTACTATTGAAAAATTAGTTTAGTAGCTCCCAACCATGATAATCAATACTGTACTAATATTACATCAATTAAGAATTATCTACATATCTATAAGTGCAAATATGCAAGACTTTTGTTACGCTCTTATTCATTTACGAAGTGCTTTATGTCCCCACCATATCCCAAATTTCCTGAGAAGCAGTGATCCTCCACAGATACGGAGCAGGAAGAAAATTAATTCAGAGTTAAATTAGCAATGAGTCACATCCTCTACCCTTTACTCTGTTTTGACTGAGCCCTCAGTCAAAATTCCCATTGAAGCATAGACTTTTTGGTTAAGGGAGAAACTGTGGCCAGAGGAAGGTCCCAGTGGAGAATCTGGGACACTAGTTGAGCTACTTCAGGGCAACAGTCCCCAACCAAACCTGAGTTTGACATGCTCCAAAGGTCTACGAAAAGTGGGGCAGATAGGAACCGAGAGAAATTTTGCACATTTCATGTGTCATCTGCAACAGGAAATGGCATTGCAAATGCCAGAAAGAAACGGAAAAACAAGAAAACAAAAACAGTGAATCAGCAGAGTGCTACACAGGAAAACTTTTATTTCAGAGTCTATATTAACCACAGAGAGCCATCTGTCGCTGAGAAACAGAGCTTACTATAACACTGACTAACACAAGACTTCACTTGGGGGGGAGGGTTTGTGAGCATCAGAAAAGAGTATCCCCTGGGACATAACCAAAAGCTGTGATAGTTTTTGTTAAGTAAAATCTGTCACCAATACAGTCAAGAGTGCTCCCTCCCTACTCTGCCTTGCTATGCTTAATGGCTGCTTATGCTCTGTGTAGCTGTTGTAAGGAGGATGACCTGGGGCTTGTCACCATCTCACACCTGCTTCTCAAGGAATAAAAAAAATTCTACAGGCAGCTGAGCACGTATCAGTGAAAAGAGGGCCTTTACAAGGGCATGTACTGACAGGACAAGGCGAAACTGCTATAAACTGACAGAGGGCACATATAGATTAGACATTAGGAAAAGTTCTTCTCTGTGACAGTAATGAGGCACTGGAACAGATTTTTCAGAGAAGCTGGGGATAATGTGAAAGTGTTCAAGGCTTTGGATGGGCCTTTGAGAAACATGGCCTAGTGGAAGAGGTTTTGAGTTAGATGATCTTTAAGGTCCCTTTCAACCCAAACCACCATATGATTTTGTGATTCTGTGAATTGTGAGCCCTCTCTACCAGCACACACATGTACCATGACTAGGGACTAGCACAGTTAGAGGAGACATCCTGCCTGGACTGGGCACATACTCTGGGGAGGTGTATGCACATCGGCCTTTAAATCCCATCCTGCCCCTTTCACAAAGTTCCGGCCAAAGACAGATTAAAGAGAAGAGCAGTCTATTTGCTCCTTTGAAAAGCGAGTCTGCATTGGAATAGTCTTATTGGCATGCTGAAGGAAATACCAGTTCATTCCAGTGTAGTTCCACTCTAATCAATGACATGACAGTACCGAACCTCAATTAAGCAAGCACAAACTAATTAGAGATTTTGCTGCTGTAAGCATTATGTGGTAAAGGCAAGTGGGGAAAGACTGTGGAGAGTATAAATAAGATAAAAGCTCTCTAAAAGCATTTACTTTTCATTTCGTACCTTTAATTAGCTGGATAACTCCAGGGACTATAATTATCAGAATTGCTACAAGCTTACAAAAGGTAAGGAACATCTGAATGCGGGCACTCCAGCTGACACTTGTGCTATTCAGGACCATCACCAGTGCTGTGAAGGGATAAAGAAAAGTCAGAAAGAAATCATTTTCACAGAATTCTTTGCCAGCAGAGAGGTCACACAAACAACAGATCCTGATGCATTAAAGGAAATACACACTGATAACCTTCTCCAGCTCTTGTCCTCCCACTTCTCTCATCCCCCTTCAAGGTACCACACCAAAGGCTTGAGCTGAGCCTCTATAACTCACCCACTGCACTGACCATCCATCTGTCCCGACACACCAAATTACAGCTTCATTGACCCATAACTGTCAGCTGCTAATAGACAACTGACTGGCAGGACCCTGTTTCGGAGGAAAGAAATTAATTGCCCAAGTCTTGTCACTCCAGATTTCTTTGTCTGTGCTGCTTTGAGTGGAGATTTGTATTTTTCATAAAACAATAACAATTAATAACCATATTAAACTTTCTCACCCCTGTTTAGGCCACACAGGAATTTGTAACTGCTTTACCTCTGCTCCTCTTTTCCATGTTCTCCCCCTCTTTTTGCTGTACCACAAGAGATGCAGGAGGGCCAGAGTGCAAGTGCTGTGCTCACCCTTTCTAGCAATCAGTGAAGAAACAGAGATGTTTTACTTATTGAAAACAAAGCCCAGGTCTGCAGCTCACCAGCATGTGGAGAGGTCAGAGAAGGGTATTTTTCATCCTGCCTGGTCAGCTCACATCTCCTTCTGGGTCAGGGACAGCATCTTCTAGCATTTCCTACAGCACTGACTGACAGGAGGAGGGCAGGTCTTGTCATTTTAGTGCCACTTATTCTAGTCTACTTAAATAGAAGGAGTTTAGATATTAAAAACAAAATTAAAATTTCCCTAAAGAATGGAAAATGAGAGCCATTTTATTAGATAAAAAAAAATCTCTTTCCCCTGCTGCTTCAGGGAAACATGGTCAAGCATATTCTTCTCTTTCTTGCCATCATATGGAGCTAATGAAGTAGCTCTTCATCTCAATCCTCCTGTACTTCAAGCTCTCTCAAGAGTACCAGTTTATGTAAATCATCAAAATCATCAGCCACATCACAGATCTCGAGACACACAAAAACACAATTTGCTAGTAGGAGCATTGTAAATCTAGCATGGCACAGGCTTTCTGGAAAAAAAACTCCACTGATTTATCTCAAGTCTTTTATACAGTTTCTCTTCACCAGTGAGGTTAAAAAAATCTTCTCATTTCAATTGAAAGTAGTTTGAGTTTAATGGAACAGGGAGAAAATTCTAAGTAATCTGGATCCCAGTGAATTTTTAATATATTTTTAAATAAAACAAAAATTCCAGGGGGAAAAAAGAGAAAGCATTTTTCCAAAATTTTTAATTGGGAGAGAGATAGTCCCACTCTTCAAATAAGCTATTTACAAGTCAATATATACTCACAACATCACCTAACACAATTTTTTCACCAGAAAAGGATCTTGAAGATCAAAATCTTTACTCAGTTCTGTATCTTACCATATTTCAGAGCTGAAGTGTTCTGAAATCACAATGAAATCACTTGGACTTCTGCAAAGTTTCACTTGAGACCCAAATTTTTTATTTTTTTTTTTTCCTTTTCTACTTCCTTGTATACCTGTATTTGAAAGGGAACAGAAAATACCAGGGCCCTGATTCATTACACTGACATATCTTGACTAATTTAAATTGAAAGATCCCTTTAGGTTGCTGATGAATATTAGTGCTGTTTGAGCCTCCCATTCTTTTCCTGGGACTTGATTACCAGTAAGACTAACAACTGTCATTTAAGCAAAATATATTTAAAATATTAATTTCACTGAAAGTGCTTAAGTTATAAAAAAATCCAGTGCCATAGTCAAGCACTTGCTTATTTTAATTTTCCTAGAAGACTCAGGATATCATACTTTTATTCTGTAGAAAGGGAAGCCCAGGCATGGACCAGAGCACAAGAAAATTTCAAGGAGGATTTCTTTCATGTAAGAGAATCTGCAATTTGATATCCTGAGTTTAAGTTGACTGCAGCAATCAGTCTGTCACCTTACACAGGTCAGATTGGTAACATGAGTGGAGAGAGCTCCTCCAGGTTTTCTAATGCATTGGTTTCACCTTCCTGATACACATATGAGAATGTTACTGGATGGTAAGGCCTCAAACACTTCAGAAAAGGGGCAGCCACAACTCCTCTGGGCAACCTGTGCCAGTGTCTTACCACCTACATCAGAAAAATTCATTCCATGTATCAAATCTAAACCAGCCCTTTTACGGTATGAAGGCATTTCCCCTCATCCTATTGTCACAGTTTAAGCCCAAATGAAAATTAAACCTGGCAGCTGCTTGCTCAACTCCCCTCTTTCACCTGCCACCCACCGGTGAATGAGAAGAGCCAATGTAAAACTTGTGGGTTGAGAGAAGAACAGTTTAATAATTGAAAACAAAGTAAAATATAGTAATAATGGTAAATAAATAATAATAATGAAAAGGGAAAAAAGCAAGTGCTGCACAATACAATTGCTCACCACCCACTGAACAGAGCCAGACCCCTCATTCCCAAACCCAGATCAGATGTCCTTCCATTTAAATCTTCACAGTTTATATGCTGGGCATGATGTTCTATGGTGTGGAGTATCTCTTTGGTCAGTTCAGATCACCTGTCCTGGCTATGTTCCCTCCCAGTTTCTTTTGTTAACCTCCTCACTAGCAAAGCATGGAGGCAGGGAAAAAATGTCCTTGACTATTGATAAACTGGACTTAGCCAAAAAAACCCAACATCAGTATGTTACCAACACCATTCTCATTCCAAATCCAAAACACAGCTCTGAAACAGCTACTGAGAAGAAATTAACTCTGACCTGGCTGAAACCAGGACACCTATCACTGCTTGCCCTTGTAAAAGTCCCTTGATACAAATGTCCTTTGATGGTCCTTCATAAGAATAAGTGCAGAGTTAGAGGACTGTTCTAGTAGTAATTCAGGCTGCAGGGCTGAGACTTAAGTGCTTACAAGCCCTTGAAAAATTTCAGACCAGTTTTACATTTTTTTTAAATTTTATTTCATTGTACTTATTAAGCTATAAGAGTTTATAGCCTTGTTTATAATATTATATTATATAATATACATTATTGCTTATTATATACTATTAATAATAGTAGTAGTATTTCATAATAATAAATGTAGTCTTAATGGTTCTATGTACATGACACTTGTCTAGAAATGTGGGGCTTACACTAGTATCACGTACCAGCACCATAGTACTGGTTGTGTTAGTAACTGGGTAGTGAAAGGCAATGGGGAGGTGGAGTCATGAAGAAAACTGCTAAAAACCAAGAAAAGATGATGACAGCTGTGCCAGGGTTCAAAAAGGACATTATATTCTGGGACTATGGCCATTAGTCTTCAGAACAGGGCCTGTTGGAGTTATTTAGAGAAATTGATTGCGGACACTTTGATACGGGATCACAGCAAATATCAGAAGGAACAGCAGTTTCTCAGAAAAAGGACAGTGAAAGGAGGACTCAGGTCTAACTTTTCTAACTAAAAGTCAGACATTAAGTGTGGCTGCATCCTCAATGAAGAGACAGCTCCAGAGGATGAATAACAATACCTCAGTTAGAGGCCTATCACAGATGAGATTGTTTACCTTCAGGAAGTTCCTCTTTCCTCTTTCTCCACTGACTCTATGGGGAACATAGATTACTTAAATACATTGATAAAAACAAGATGAATCCTAACCAAGAGGAGTGTGGAGGGAGAACAAAATGGGGCTCATAAACAGTCAAACACAATGGAAACACCAACATGTTTTTCACAATCTCTTTCCTTCCCACAGACACACAACTATAGATGAATAACAAAACCTAATGGGAGAAGCAGCAGTGAGCATTACATCCTGCCTTACTTTTCAGAATATATGTACCATTGCCTCAGCAGGAGACCAAGAAAACTGCTCTCCCATAACTTGTCAGACTTTTAGGGTCAAGGCATTCAAAAAATGCCAAAAAATACCCTCAATTTGCAGACCCTAATGAGCCAATTAAAAGTCACAGGAAGCACAAAAGCACCTATCAGAGCATATTTGCAAGAGCATATCAGAGCATATCCCTGCAAGCCAATAGATATTTTAATGTAAATTACTTGTCTGATAACTGTCAGCAGTAGAGAGTGGCATCTGCAACGTCTGCCTCAATGAAGGGAAAAAAAGGCATCTAATTACAGGCTCATAGACACCAATAAAACTTGGGGCTGGAGCATTTTCTCTGCTTTCTGGTACAGAGGCCATGTGAAAAGTTTGGCACAGGCTCAGTTCCTATTCAGACTACATATTGATAGAGGAGTTGGATACCTTTGCACAATGCATTTTATCACTTCCTGTTAGCATTATATTTAAGTTTACAATTAGGAAAATAGTTAATAGATATAAATAAAGCAAGACATGAATATAGGGCCTTTTTTGCAATGTTAGGCATGGTGATAGGATGTTTATTTATGTCAAGAAACAATAAATATGTAGGAGTCTACCAACTTTCACTTCAAGACGAAAATGAATTTTAAACTCATTCTCCCAAAAAGACTCCCTTCAGTATCAGAACAAAGATGGACAACATCTCTTTGCTTTGTATCCTGGAGCTATTTTGTCCTGCTGGAACTGAGTGGGGAGTTAGAAGGGCTAGTCTCCTGTTTGCATTTTCTGCAGCTGTCCTTCCCTGTGTTGAAGCACATCCAGCTTCTTTCTCCCCTACCCGGCCATTTATTTTCATAAAATTGTAGTAATTATATCCTGCCTCTGGAAGTGTTCAAGGCCAGGTTGGATGGGGCTTTGAGCAACCTCATCTAGTGGGAAATGTCCCTGCCCATAACAGGATGATCTTTAACGTCCTTTCCAACCTAAACCATTTTATGATTCTATGAAATGTATACTGTAATAAAAATCTTTGAGATATCTGCTCTTCTTTCACATACATTTAAATTAACCAAGTTGAGAAAATTTACTGACTTTTTCTGACAAACTGATATCTGCATATCCAGTATTTGATCTAAGTTCTTCTCCTCATGAAGATTTGCTTAAGAAACACCAAGTGAATTTAAGTGATTTCTAAGTTTGAAAAAAAAAAAAAGGAAGGTTTTGCTTCAGAAAGCTGTGGCATCTGAAAAGAGACTCCACACAAGTATCCTTCTCTCTACTGAGACATTGAAATGTTTGGAGATTTTGGTTGGTTGGTGGTGTTAAAAAAGAAAAACCATAATAAAGGCAACTAAAAACAAAAGCAGCATATTGGAGAACATAAAATTTTCTTTTACAGATTGTTCAAGATTGCTCTGAACAGGTGATTTTGAGGGGAATTTTGTGCCCAGCATATGTCCTTTTCCTATAAATAATAAAGCAAGAACAGAGATTTTTTTAAATGTCACCATGTCCAGTAGTTGCATTTTAACTCTCATCTGATCTACATCTCCTCTGCACTATCATTCCTTTTTCACTGAAGATGCACAGAGGAGAAAATGGTGGGGAGTAGAATAGCTGTAGCCCTTTACAAGGAATATTTTTTGGTGGCTAGTAGAGAAGCAAGAGTATTTGCTACTCCCCAAAATAATCCTGGTTGCATCCATCTCAGTCAACTTTTAATAATAGGCTTAAGATGCATCAATAGAGATTCAGGTGGGGAGAAAAAAAAAAAAAAGAAAGAGAAAAGCTGTACTGTGACAAGGATAGAAAAAACTGGACTACAATACTAGTGATGTTTTAAAAAACTCCCCCACTGCAAATTTTAAGACCATTTTATTCAAACATTTCTAAGAAATTGTTTTGATAACACTGATTGTGTTTGGGATCAGGGGATTACCTGGATATTTTTCAAAATTCCTCCCTCTTCTTTCTCGTACAACAAGAAATGACAAGGTAAAACAATAGAACAAAGTCTTACCCAAGGAGAGAGTTCAGTGGTGCATCCCAATGCCTTTCCCTGTGCAATAAAGACATATACACGACCAGTGCTCTCTCTCATCAGGCAAGGAAGGAAAAGGGACCAGACATGGGTAAGAAAAAAGGCATGTAATTTCACTTTCTGATTAAAAATTTGAAGTGATACTACTTTTTGCACCATTATATTGGATTATAAGATCTTCAGGGCTCCAGAGTGTCTGTTCAGCTCACCAACTTAATCTTACTTACCGCTCTGCCTACATGCCCAATACCAAACATTCATAACAATTACCACCACAGCAGCTCATTCTTACCCGACAAGGATTAACAGCCAGATACTCTGTGATCACTGAGCTTAAGTGCAGCAGAAGTTCTAAGAACTACTACAAATAAAACTCCACTGTAGAGCATACTGCAAAGAATAAAGTCTCAGTCAGATATATCACTGTTTTTCTCAGTGTCATCCCATTCACCACTACAAGTTTTCTACAAGAATCCCTCCTTTCAGTGAAATGCCAGTTCATCCCACCTGTTTCATACAGACCCACTCTGTACAGGAGTGTCTGCTGTGACCTCCCTTCTCCCTTTAGGCTGTGATTATTTCAGCCTAATTCCACCTCCCCTGCAAAGCTACTTATTTGTTCAATTATTTTGCCAAGCCCTGGCTTATCACACAGATTTTCATTTAAATTAAAAACAATGAAAACATATTTCAAATTGTTCACCTATTGTGCTTGACTCACAAGCAATTAACAAAACACTTTGATGCAGTACTCACTTAACATTCCTTCTGTCTCAGTGACCTTAACATAACTGAACATGTTTCACTCTTGCACTAAAATGTTTTAGACAGATGTAGCTGTAAAAAATCATTGACCTTAAAATTAAAACCCCTAATTCAATTACTCCTATGAAACCCATAGTTTGTGCATAATTAAGTTAGAAAGGAATGCAGTCACATACGTTTTTAACACTCCAACCAGAAAGGAAATCTTATCAAGTGAGCTCCCACAAAAAGCCACAGTAACCTGGAGACTGGAAATTTCAATGTAAATTGAACTCCTTGCCCTGAAGAAAGAAAAAGTCATCTGAACCTATTATTGTGCAAAACTGAAGGGGTCTCCTGTAGGCCTTTGATCATTTTGCATGTCTTAATTCCTTTTTCCAGTCTTTTTGTTTCTGATATGTGCACTGAGCAAATTGAAAGGAACAATCTGTTACTAATTACTCAGGTCTACTCTGCACTCCCTCCCAGCACAGCTGAATTCCAAAGTGTGCCCACAGGGAGTATCCTCACCAGTGACCAGACAGACAGGGAAACAAGCCTCTAATGCTACAAGCTCTAGAGTGCCATTCCCATAATCTTTTGTACTTTCCCATTTCATGCATCCTCCATACCAGCCCAGGTACACTGTAAAGCCTCTGCTCTCACGACAGTGCCCCTCTTTCCACTGCAAATATTGGCTTTATGTAACCCTAAATGACCCCTTTTACACTAACTACAAAGTTAGCAAGTGTAGGACAACAAGCCAGCAACAACCATGCACCAGGCTGAATGTTCTGCTCCCAAAATTTGCTTCCTGCTTTCTGAACTACAAGTGCCTCAACAAGGATTATTGCCAGGATGGAAAGAGTGGGACTGGGGAAGATGACCTCATGTTGTCTGTCTGCACTCAAGAGAACTACATTTCTTCATGGCATCATACTTGGCATTTAACTGCCTCCTAAATCTAAGGTAGTGCAAAACACTTAAAGCAGGTAATCTTTCTTGCATATCTCTGGCATTACTTCACCATCTCTTAGAGACTGAAATTGCTTCTACAAAAAGAAAATTTGGTCATTAATTCAAGTGGCAACAGAATCAGCCTTGACAATACATTTTCCCTGCCACTGATAAAGTCTGCTGTTCTTTTTGTTCCTGTGTTTGTTCACAAACACCCACACCCAGGCAAAATGTCCCTGGCACTGGATGCATGGTAATTAATGATTTACATTAAACAATTACCTGCTCATTTTTTTCAATTTATATAATCTTTACCTTCCCCTGAAACCTAAAATTGGATACTTACTGATGCCGACAGCTGTAATAAGTTTAACTGCAAGTTCTGGGATTTCACACTGCATAAAGAAAGGTTCCAAGATATAGCGCCCAAATGCCAATGATATCACTGCTGTGGCAGCAGGGCTAGAGAGAAAAAAAAAAAACAAGGTCACAAAATTAATCTGCAATAGTACACAGCTATTATTCTTATTGGATCACGCTGTAACTTCATTATCCGAGACCTGTGAAGCTTAATTTTAGTGCTTTCTTTGAGCTTTGCTGACATGTACCACAGCTTCTGAATGCAGCACTACTCAGTGATTCTGATCTGACAGCAACACTTCTCATCAGGTTGTCTCTTACAACTTCCATGTTGCAAAGCAGTCATAATCAAAACCAAAAAGTATCAATATAAGTCTTCATTCACTCACTTGAAGTGAACACAGCCAGTAATCAGATTACATTGGCAACACCCTGCACAAAAGTCAGTGGATTTTAGTGGCCATATATATCTCACCCCTCAGAGACACAAGCAAATTAATTTCATTCAAGCTGAGCATTCTGGTTTACTAAATTAAGTATCCAAAACCTACCCAGGTCTTTTAATAAATTCTGAGACAGTCCAAATGGGATTTTCTAAAATACAAACAGAATTTGTTCCTTTTATTGACTAAGGATTTCATAGCACTACAAGTGAAAGCAAAAATCCCTGTAGTATACCATAAAACAAAGGAATATGAAGAAAGACATAATGTTTCTTTATTTGGCCAGCTGGTGTTTTTCATAGTAAGAGTTAAGTTTTCCAACACCCAAAAAGCTGTTGCATTTACAAATTTGAAATGCTCATATTCATACAGCCCTTCTATTTGAGAGACGCTAACTGTTTCACAGAAGCCTTAGCACTGACACATATTAGTAGCAAATTAGCCTGTGTCTACAGGTTACTGTTCATGTTCCATTTAGAAGGACATTTTCACCCTCATTAGGACAGCTGGTGGCATCTGTGGTTTATCATATACACACTGTAGGACAACAGGCACATGATTCTCAAAGAATTTCTGAGTTGAACAAGAATTCATCCAAATTTCTTGGGAAAAAACCTGCCACACCTCACTTCACAGAATTTTGATAAAAATTCTATGGAACAGGGTAGAAATTCTGCAGAGACGTTGTTGTTCTCCATTAAACTATAAAAGAATTTTCCACAAGGGAGTTGCACCATGGAAACAAAACCCACTTTCTCTGTGTTATGACTCAACTCAAAAGTCACACACTATATTGGACCAAGCTGCAGCACAGAACAGAACAGAACAATCTTCCTCAGTAAGTTTCTGCACGGACAAGCAAGGGCTGCTGCATATGCATTTCCCATGCATGGGGATGTTCCTCTCACTGGCCAGCAAATGGCTTTGCAAATTTTGTCTGGATTTTCACAGACATTTACTGCAATACTTCTAGTATCAGGAGATCACCAGGCATCTGGTTTTTAAGTACTGCATGCAGCCTTCCATAAGTAGTTTTGGAGTGCCCTAGATCAGATGAAAGGTCAGATCTTTGGAGCTGTCCAAGACTTCTTTTCCTCAGTCCCAGCTTCTTTCCCCATAACTTGGACTTTGACATCCCATTTCAAGGAAAAGCCTTTTTAAAAAAGCAGTCACTGCTATCCACACCACTGTTTCTAAAAACAGAGCTCCTAAATTACACCTCTAATAGCTCTGCTTCTGACATTACCAGGACTTTCCATGGGGGAGATGTTGCTGGCAATGCTGTCAATTAGTGGAGGTAGAAGTTCAAAGAATGGAGCAGTATTAAAAAGACACACAGATGGGATGTTTAGCGACATAGCTTATTGGTGGACTCTGCAGTGTTGAGTTAATGGTTGGACTCCTTGTTCTTGGTGGTCTTTTCCAACCTTACTCATTCTGTTTTTCCTTTTGACTACAGTACTACAGGCAGGCTGGCAGGCCTCAATAGCTGTGTGTTCTGGAGCAGGTAGAAAGTGCATAACCAGCTTCCACAGAAGGGCAAGGATACAGGAAGACACCAGATGAGGCCCAGCCACAGGGTCCCAGCACATACCACAAGTGAGTCAGGCACCTGGCAGCACAGTCCTCCTGCCTTTGTTTAGCAACCACCAAGTGAAGCTCTACAGACAATGTATTCACACTGCTGTCTTCACTTGTTTGAAAAATAGTTTTTGGAGGTTTTTTAAAGGTATATAAATATATATAAAATACAACCTGGCTTTGGGAGAGAAAAAGGTTCACAGTTGCACTGGGTGAGAAGCAGTGCAGTGTAAGGCAGAACTATTCACTAAGTGGGCAGAGTAGTTAAGTGTGTTCTCCATTGTCAAGTAGCAGCTTTACAGAGATATATGGGAGCAAGAGATGTCTGTTTTTGTTGTTACTCCTCCACCAGCCTGTAAGTGTGATAATCCTGCAATCTTTCATAAGAAAAACCAGCTTAGCTGAGATGTGTGTCTGCAACTTCATCTGCTGAAAACAGAAAATAAACATATATGAGGTCTCAAGTTCTTTGATAGAAGCAGTTTCCTGATGCAGGAGTCAGCTATAAAACTACACAGAGTTTCAGCAGCGCTGCTCTGATCATTGCAAGTTACAACATGTATGCCTTCCTCGCTGCCTTTTAGACTGGGTGATTAAAGAAACCACTGATGTTCTCTCCCATGCAACATGACTATTTTCTGGGTGTGGGGCAGATGACGATTACTAGAAGCATTTTCACAACACTCCTGGGACACCGTCATACGTAAAAAAAATAATTATTTTGTGAGGAAAGGAATTTACAATGCCTGGTTTTGTTATGGGTGTTTGTGCCTAAGTTAATAAGCTGCCTCTGTCAAACAAAGTGTAGATTAAGAGGGGGATTTCTAAAACTGTTCCCGTTTGTTGATTCTCTGATGTGAAATGATATAGCTGTTCACAGCACTGTGAACACATAGGTCTCAATCCACTTCCTGGTTGTCCTTTTTGGCAGAAGTTTCATACAGCTGAGACATCTGCCCTTTCATCACGTTTGATGGAAATTATGCAGTTAATTCAAAGGTTACGTTTTGGTGGGGAGGTTGTGTTGGACCATCTGACATACAAAATTATTTCCCCTGGAAACAACATAAGGATTTATAGATTCATTATGACTCAGCACCGTCAGCACTTTTAAACTCAACAGTCTATGCTAGAACCTGTCAGTGTTATGTAAACATAGTTATGATTTGAAATGAGGCTTGTGCCTCATTTGTGACTAATCTGCTGATTGCGGAAGAGAGGGGAAAGAAGTGCTAACCAGCCTGAGTTGGGGATGGAGCATTCCCAAGGACATTTTGTATAAGTGAGTTGCCCTGTTCTACATATATCAAGATCTCCAAAGTCTGCAAAATTGCAAAAATAAAAGGAGAGGCTACACATGAGTTTGCTATGTTGATCCATTTACATTATGAAAGTTTATATTATATTATTCAACATCTTCATATTGTAATTCTTCTGCACAAGGTCAAAGGCTGCACACCAAGGCAATACATTGGACATTTTAGGTATGTGAAGATAATGTTTCATTATTTGGTTAGTTAGTGTTTTTCAAAGTAAGAATCAAGTTCCCCAACACCCCACAAAAACAAAAAATCAGGGCCCAATCTGACATATAAAGCGTACACGGTGCCCTTAACTCTAAAAACTACTGGACAATAGTTTCACAGGTGTTATTCCTGTATCCAGAAACAACAGTAATTGTTCCAGAAGGTAGTGCTAAGACTGCGAAAAGGTAAAGGTGACTTCCCTCTTTCTGTACTCTATCTAGGTATGGCAAACAACATTATTAGTGACATCAATGGACAATCAATAGTAAGCTTAGCAAAATTAAGGCAAGTAATTGGGATTTTTGTGGCAGGGAGTTTTCTTATTTCCCCCATATACTCACACATCTCCTTGAACATTTCAAAGCTGATGAGTAGAATAGCATTTTTAAACCCTCTGAAGTAATCATATTAAAAGAACACAGTTAACTGACCAAAATATCTTTGATTTTTTTTGCCCAACATATAGAAGAGATTTTTCTTTATAACTGACAAGAGCATTGCCATCAGAAACAGTCATGATACACTTACCGAATGATGAGTAGTTCAACCCAGACCCTCACAAATGCAGGTAACGGGCCAAAGGCCTCCAGGATATAGGTGTAGTGACCACCGGATTTCTTAATGCATGTTCCTAGCTCAGCATAGCAGAGGGCACCTGTGAGAATTCAACAGGGCCAACATGAGAGACGTCCAGAAATACCTATCAAATAATTTATAGCCTAAACAACAGAGCTGCTATAGTATCGTAACTACTTTTTATATATTTTAATTTTTTTCCAATGAATTTTGCAAGTTTTAATTCATTCAGCTAGACATGTAGTAAACTAAACCATTTATCCACTTATATTTAAAGCCACTGGACAAGCTATTTGCAGTAAGTGTTGTTACTACTATGCATCTGGTGAAGAGGGACAAGAAAGTGGGTTGTTACACTAGACATGTTACTTTCCAAGTAGTCAGACTGCATCGCTAAATGAAAGATTTCTGACACACTTGTTAACAAAGGTTGATTTACTCCTCTCAGCCTTAGAGATGCCTGGCTCAAACTCTAAAGGTCTAAAAACTGTATTACCTCGCCTCAGCCATGGATAAAAGCAATCAAATGGCCCAAATTTGGAAGCAGGATCTTCAGATTAAGAATTTTCCTCAACAATACTCCTAACATTTTACATATAAAACTCAGGGGGTGACATAGTCACAGCTTTTCAACACTGGTGGAGTGTTTTTGCGTACTACAAAAGCAGTGAAAAGTCAGGATCTATCAGCTAGCTACAAAGCTGGGGATTCACAGCTTCACAGGTGGACCACATCAATAGCGTTCCACAACCAAAAAACATAGGCAGCCCTTTTGGAAGGCGACTCTGAGGAGCCAGTAATGAACAGTAATAAAGTTTGTTAGCACTGCATCACACAGAGTTAAGATCAGAAACATACATTAACTCATTTCAGCTCTCTTCCCTGCACGTCTTTATGTCACACACTTTTAGATAAGAACTACAGTTGTCAAAACCACATCACAGGTAAAAGCCAATTAAAGCTGTACCACATGATGACAAATTCTCCAGCTTTATTAATTTGTTTTGTTTGAGGCTTTGCAAAAATGTGGCAACTTTTATCTGCAATTCTTTAGCTTACCTGAAGATGTGTTTAAAGTAACCCTTACAGCCACACCAAAGAAAGCTGTTTATGCATTTTCTTTTGCCAGCCTCTTTTTTTGAGGTTCAGGATGAAATGAAATTGTGTTTTAATATATGTTATAAACACAGCCTCAGCAAGACCTTACGTGATCTCTACATGTGATTTAACTATAAGAGTCATGCAGGGAACTAAAAAAAAAAAAAAAATTTAAAAAAAAAGGCAAGAACAACCAAAAAGCAAACAAACTGTAACAGGTCCATCCTGAGAACAAGATACTATCTTTTGCTGTGCCAAATTACACAGTCCTTCCATCTAGAAGTCTGGAAAATTACCTAAAAAAAATCAGTCTGATAAAAGAGAGGGGGTTATTTTGGTTTTCTTGTTTTGGTTTGGTTTCTTTGTGAAGCTTTTTTTTTTTTTGTAGAAGCTTTACTACACAGCCAGAAGATTACTACTACTAAAGTTACAGCCATAAATTCAGTGCTTAAGCAAATTCTGGGTTAAGCAACTCAAAAGCCCAAGGTCTTTTGACAGGGGTACAAATAGCATCTGAGGTTTTTCTTGATAGGGGAATTTTGTTGCAGGCAGAACTTCCACACTTGTACAAGAGATTATGCTGCACGTTGTACCCATACATTTACGATTTCACCCAGATGAGTCCAAACTTACTAGGACTGTTTGTTTGGCCTGGGTTGGTTTAGCCTGTAAAGGATATTTCTTTTAAGGTCAGAGCCAATTTACAAGGTGGCATTTGCATGTTCCGCCTATTAAGTAGACACTTAGTTCCTCTTTGTCCTCTTAGCTCCTGCCAGTAAACAAGTAGTTTCCTTTTTAAATAAAGCCAATATTCATGTTAGTTCTTCAGTTTCTTTGAGATTAACTCTATTAAACAGGTCAATGAACCCTCTGTCCCACAGAGGCCAGGGTAGGGTTTTCCACTCTGAATGAGGGTTTTGTGTACAGAACAACTTAACTGGACTTCTTCAGAATTCAACACTCTTCAAGAACACAAAGAATTAGCAAAAACTCCCACAATAAGCAGGCTAGCAATAAAACTCCCAGGGTAAATTTGCTTCCATCACAGTTTTTTGTAGCCCAGTCTTTCAAAGCAACTTCATGAGCAAGGAAGGAAGAAAAGAGCTGGGAAAAGGGGTTATTAGTATTATTGTTTTGCTCCCCTTCATGCCAATACATCTTACATACAGTGGGAATTATTCCTCTCAGACTTTGCTGTAGCCTCTAGGGAACTAGGTTGAGCTGTCTAAACATTTCAGTGGTGCTCATGCATCATGTTCATCCCACAGCCAGGGGCTTTACAAGCAAACCATAAATACATCTCACAACAGGAGAAAAATATACATACAGCACGTTCTACAGGGAAAAACACACATTTGGTTTTCCTGTTCCTTTAGGGACCCACAAAAAAAAAAAAAAAACTTCCAACTTTCACCAGCTGGTGCCATGAGTTGGGGGACAGGGCTTGCAAATCTTTGCACCCTCCACAAAACCATCATGCAGCACAAACTATCTGTAGTTCCATTGGTGCTCAAGCTCTGCACTCTGAGTTCCTATCCAATCATAAAATCAGAGAAATAATCACAATAATTCACCAGCTGCCCCTCTAGACCAATTAGAAACTTTTCAGGGACTTACCAAAAAGTGAGAGGATACCACATACTGTCCACACAGTCAAGGACATGCCCACGCTGCCTGTGTTCTTCAGGATGCCTTTGGGAGAGATGAAGATGCCAGCTCCAATGATAGTGCCAATTATGATGGATATCCCCCTCATAAGTGTCACTTTCTTCTTCAGCATAACTTTTCCCTCCTGGGCTGGCTGTTTGCTGTCCATAGAGGACAACTTGCCATTAGTTTGTCCCTGCAAGTAGCTTGCATTAGAGACCATGGGCACAGCAGCTTTCCTAAACATGCTACAGTGCCACCAACACACTGCTGGCAAGCACAGGCAGAAAAGTTTTCAGCAGAAACCGAAGGGGATTTTTCCCCCCCTCTATGTAGGCAACTACTTTGTCTCTTCCTCTGTCTTCTCTTATCTTTCCAGCTGCTCCTACACACAGGTAACAAGCTCTTAAAGAGTATGTGAGCCCTTCCTGTGATCCAAGCTCAGCTCAGTAACACCTGCGTTTTCACGCTGTGGTACTGCCCTATCATTGGAAACCAGCGCAGCTTCCGCATGGACTTGTATTTAAGCTCTTGTCATACCAAGTCACTCTAGCTGAATGATGATGCAAATTCTCCAGGTTTGCATCAGCCATTTGAGAAACCGCTGGCATTACTCAGCATTTCTCTTTTTTTTTTTCCCCCCCCCTTTCCTTTTTAAACCGTACGGGCATGTTGTACAACTGGCCTGGGGGTGGTGAGAAGAACAAAGGACTTGCAAGCAGCTCGACCTAAACCTCGCCAGTCAATGCAAGCATATCACCCTCGACACCCCGAGACGCACTCCCAATTTTTTTAAAGCAGTTCAGAGCCAGAAACAAAAGCCTGCCTAAACATAAAGCTTGTCAGAGTACAAGGGGAAAAGAAATCAAACAGGGTACGTCATTCCTGGGTCTAATCCAATTTCATTCTCGAAAAACTCTCAACAAAAGTTAAGTTTGCGGGGGCTGAACTGCTAGTGTCTTAGTTGATCAGCCTCTCCCACGTCCATGTTACTAATCTGGAAATCTCTGCAGGGACCGGGAACCACCATAAAGGATCCATACAGCCCCACTGTTACCCTGAGTTACTTAGCAGCACACCCCAGTCAGCCTAATGAGCACACAGACATTATTTCCACGCAACAGGCATTTTCATAGGTGCAGGTGTTTTCCGGGATGTCAGGAAACAGCACCGCACCACCACTTTTTTGTTAAAATACACTGCAAAGATTTACAGCCACCTTGCACGTGTGACCGGGCAGGAGCAGGGCAACACCCCAGACCACAGGGTCTCCAGGACCTCTGGAATCAGGAGGGGATTTTTTGTGTTATCTCTGACCAGATAAAGAGGTAATCAGGTGCACAAATACATTTGCTTCACCTGATCATTCGAATTCAAACTGAGCAATTAGTGTTAAAAAGAGGTGTGTTCTCCTAAAACAGAGCCTTCAAGCTCTGTTGACCTAATCAAGGGAAAGCCTTTATAATATATGCTAAAGGGAAAAAATTCTTCGTCGTATAACTATTGCAGCTGCTAATAGCTTCAGATTAGATTTGTGTACTGAGACATTATTGCTACAGTTACTGCTCTTACAGGTTTTTTTTTGTTTTTGTTTTTGTTTTTTTTTTTTGCTGTTTAATCAGCACTAGGTTTGGGAGTAAAAATAAGATCAGTTAAACCATTTTATCCTTCAAAAAGCAGGCACTGAGCTCACAGCACAACTGTGTTTTCAAATCTATGTGAGAAAGAACAAATCCTGGACTACCAACGTGCTGCAGTTGTAAAATCTCAGTGTTTTTAAAGCCTCATATTTTCATTTATAACACACCTGAAATAGTTGGCACTGAGATAAAAGAAGGCATTAAAAAAGCTTATCTCGTTTACATGCACATAGGTAGAAAGCAAAGTCATTGTAGCTTTTGACTACATAGCAGTCGGTTTTCTGAATATATCCCACTTCTGCCTCTACCTACTGATGTGCTCAGTAGATGATCCTTCACTTCCCTGTACAGCAGCCCACACGTGACTGCACAGACTGACTGCAGGCAGAGCCTTCCCTGTCACCCCACAGCCCAAACCAAGCCAATTTCCATGGCACTGGCTACAAATAAACTCAGGATTAGGTAGCATGTTGTGCCAAGTTGTTTTCTCTTGATGCCCGTTCCACAGGCTGTCCTCCAGTAAGATTAGGCAACTGGATCAAATCAAACCAGCAAAAAGCATTAACCAGAGAACTGAATTGGGCTGGTGACCTTTATTTTAATCTTCAAAGACTTTTTATTGAAGAAACACATGACATCTTCAAATACTTGATACTTTAAGGTAGACATTTTTAACTAATGTTTACCCTTTATTTACACAGGAAGTTAGTTCCAAAATCGAACCAAAAGCTCAATAACCAGATGACCCCGAGGCAGCTTCCTGCAAGCCAGCTGTCTTCAACAACCAGCCAGTACAAATGCTGGGCAGTCTAACGGCTTTCAATCATTTCATTTAATTACTAGCCAGAAGACTACATGTTTCCCCTTTGGGCATAGCAATTAACACTCTCCCTCACAGGAAAAAGGGTACTTGCTTCTTCAGTGGTATGGGAATAGCATGCATACAAATCTTGTGAAATTCCCAGGGAAATTTATAAGGTAGGACCAGAGGACGGCTGGATGGAGAAAATTCCTTTTCTTAACTCCTGGCAGCTTGCTAGTGATCTCATTTGTAGCCTTCCCAGAGAGTATGTTTGTGTACAATGCTTCCCAATGGTATCCACTGAAAACAAGAAAAATAGGAGCTTTTCTCCTTTGAGTTCCAGCCTTACTTCAAATTATTAGTTCCACTGAAGGTAAGGAATATTTATTCGGTGTTGGGGGATTATCTGTTATATTCTGTGAATTTCATGAGCATTATCTGTCAACTGAGCCTGAGAAGGTCATGAAGCTGGAACATAACTGTCTCCTGACCCCACTTACAGTATACTCACAAAATCTCTTCTGATTATTTGTATCTCACCAGCCATTTTTACTTCAATTATTCATCTCAGAGCAAGGACCACTATACAAACACAACAAACATTGCTCAGTGTCCAAGACAGCAAACAATGCTCAGTATCCAACACACAGAACAGCCCCATTCTTCCATAAAAAATCACTCTAAAAGCAGAACAGAAAAGGTAAAAGTGCAATTTTCTTTAGACTGATGAAATTATTTGAAGCAATGTTTCTAAAAACATGTTCTGAAAACAAACTTTCATCCTCTAATGGCATCTGGCATTGTGCATAGTCTTTTTATTATTTCTCTCGGGTTTTTTTTTTTTTTCCAATTCACAGACATTTTCTCCTGAACAAACATTTTAGAGAATAACTGAGATCATCACTGTGAAAGAGTTTCCTTTTGAATCTCACCACCAGCCCTGATTAATCTAGCCACCGCCTGATCCAAACAAAAATCCTTACCAGAAAACCTACAAGTCCTACACCTATACCCTGCAAAGAGCTAAAGCATCAGCCAGAAGATTCAGCAACCCAGACTGGTTGCCTGAATGCCACCAGTGGCCTGTCACAGTGTGAATAACCTTCCTGCCAGCTGCACCTCTCTTCTCAGTGCTTGAGAAACACAGGGAATAACAATACCTCAGTACCTCAGGCTGAACACACCTGACATAGTGTTACCCCCATTGATCACACTAATAGAGTTTTTGCCAACATCAGGACACAGCTGTATCTTTCCAAAGAAGCTACAATTTTCGTATTTCCCCATGGGAATGCTACAAAACACACACAAAGCATTCACCTTCATGGTAATGCTAAAACAAATGCAGCAAAGAGAAGGACCTAAAGTTCAATCCTGAACTTGAGTTCCCAATTCTCAAGCCCACAAAAAACATAATTTCTAGATGCAGAAATTTTTCCAGGCATTTGTCTATCAGCTTTTTGCATCGAACAAATCCAAAGAGTCACAAGCCAAGCCTTCAGCCACACATTGCCATGGTGACTGGAGACATGGGAAAAAAAGAGGAAGTACAGCAAGACTGGAGAGGTGAGGAAAGCCCCAAACTCTTAAACGTGGGTGGCATGGCATGAAAAATGTTGTTTAGAAAACTGATCGGACTCTTCTGTGTATAATGCCAAGTTGTTTGTGAGCTTCAGAAAGCAGCCTTGTAGAAAGGCAGTAGTCTGGTTTCAAATATCAAAGGATGGGAAAACACCTAAAAGTATTTGTTTCATGTAGATAATCTAGCATTGAGAAGATTTGAGTGAGGATTTTAGCTCCTATTGCAGTGTTGAGAAAGAATTTAACTAGTTGAGGGTG